CCTGTGTCCCCGCAGCTGGCCGACAGCGAGTTCTCCCCCGTGTTCCGCCTCCTGACCATCTTCGCCTACGGCACCTATGCGGACTACCTGGGTGAGGCCGGGCCCCGGGGCGCTGAGGGCACAGCGGTGTTCGGGGGCCCTTTCCCCTCCCGGTGATGGTGGTCTCTGGGTGCAGAAAGCACCCTGGAGCCCCGAGCCGTTGGAGACTGTCACCCAAACTGTGCCCCTTTGCAGCAAGAGCCACGACTCTGTCTCTGTTGCCCGGCAGATGACTGATTGTGGTTTGGGCCTGAGACCCCTGAAGTAGCTGATGATAATTAGTGCTACTATTTGGCAGCTGTGTGGAGAATTTCCAAGAACATCTTGACAGAGACATTTCTGAGGGGCAAGGGGAAAGACTTAGGTATCCATTGGGATGTGCATGCTTCCATAAATAAGGCACAGGACAGCTAGAGAGGGTGACTTGAGGCTGAGGGGAGGAAAGGCTGCTCAGAAAAGGTCTTTTGAGCTGAGAATCAATGGAGATGGCTTGGCAAGACAAAGCATCACTTGGGGGATTGGTGTGCAGAAACTTTAAGAAATGGGTGTGGTGCTGATGCAGGGCTGGGAAGTGGAAGATGAGGCATATATTCTTATACCCTGCTCTTTCCCCTGACAATAGCTGAAGCAGCAAACCTCCCTCCCTTGACAGAAGCTCAGAAGAACAAACTGAGGCACCTGTCAGTCGTCACTCTGGCTGCCAAGATCAAGGTAGTAGCCCTATTTTTCCCCAACTTCTCCTTCCACTGGGGTTACCTCATGCTAGTTACTGTCATGTTTCCACAGTGCATCCCCTATTCAGTGCTGCTGGAGCAGCTACAGCTGAAGAATGTCCGGCAACTGGAGGACCTCGTGATTGAGGCTGTGTATGCAGATGTGCTGCGAGGGAGCTTGGATCAGCGGAACCAGCGCCTGGAGGTGGATTACAGCATTGGGAGGGACATCCGGAGGGAGGAGCTAAGCACCATCACCCGCACATTGCAGGAGTGGTGAGGAGGAAGCCCCCAATACTAACACCCAAAAAGGGCTGCAGGAGTGGCCAGTGGCATCTCCAGATCCTCTGTGCGTTGCTGGAGGCGTAGTGTTATGAGGTGGCCTACTCATCCCCTTTCCCATACACCAACAGAAAGTAATTTTCCAAAAATGATTTTCCATGTTCCCCGGTTTGTTACTGGAGGGGTGATGAGACCGCAGCAACCTTTGCACAGTCCTCACTGCTGGCAGGAGGCTTTCTGAATATATACTTGTAGTTCCTAACCTAGTGTCACTTTGTTATTTGTCCCCCTCCCAGGTAATAACGTCACTACATTATTACATTAGACTCCTGCTCCTGTGTCTTCCCTGCCTGGTGTAGCTGTCCCCTTATGGTCTTTTTGGCCTGTAGAGTTGAAATCTGTCATCTTTCATGTTTCTTTCTAGGCTGTGTAAATTATCTGCCCTGTTCAGTTCTGTGTCTTCTCTCCAGGTGCCAGGGCTGCGAGGTTGTCTTGTCAGGCATTGAGGAACAGGTTAGCCGGGCCAACCAGCATAAAGAGCAACAGCTGGCACTTAAGCAGCAGATAGAGAGCGAGGTGAGTGGGCCAAGGAGGGAGATGCCAGTGCCCCTCACTTTGAAATAACTAGAACTGGTACCCTGTGGTTGTTACAGTCTTTGCTCAAGTAAGGCATTACCTTTTCCCTAGGCCAGACCCCCACATGGATGTACCTCAAGAAGAGTCCTAAATCAGCTTAATGCTCCTCTGCAGTGCAGAGGTCTGGACAGCTGTTAGCTCTTTTGTTTGACCTGGGCTTGCAGCTCTTAACTCCAGGGCTTGCTTTAAAAACAAACAAACAAACAAACCAAAACCCAAACTTAAGAGTAAAAAAAACCCAAAGCAAATGAAAAAACTTGGGAAATTTTTTGGTTCTTGCCTTTCTGCTGTTGCAGGTGGCAAACCTGAAGAAGACTATTAAAGTGACAACAGCAGCAGCTGCAGCAGCCACATCCCAAGACCCGGAACAGCATCTAACAGAGCTCAGGGAGCCGGCCCCTGGCACCAACCAGCGCCAAGCGAGCAAGAAAACTTCCAAAGCCAAAGGGTGAGCAGTGGGGGCAAATGATCAGAGCCACTCTGTCTGTGTGTTCAGGAGGTGAACTGAGGGGAGCCCTGTTTCAGAGCACTGAGGTTACTGACTGCAGGGTCTGCTTCCTGGACAGGGATGGTCAGAGATGTAGTCTCAGCTGAGCTGATCTCCTGCTAACCTGGGGGGAAATCTCTGCAGCTTGGGATCTGAAGCAGAGTTCATAAGCCTTCATCAGCTGCTCTTCTTTGCCTGCATTTAGAAAAGGAAGTCATGGATGAGCTTTAGTGTCCACCCTGAATTGTGGGGGTTTTTTTCTCTCTCCACAGGCTCCGGGGCAGTGCGAAGATTTGGTCTAAGTCAAACTAGATCTCCCTTCACAACTGGGAGGGTGAGAGGAAGAGATTTGGGAGACGGAGGGGTAGCAGGGGTCCCAAGTGTGACGCTGCTGAGCTCTTCTGCAAAATCCATCTTGCCAACTAATTCTCCTGCATGTTTATCATCTTTCCTATCTTCTTCGCTGACTTTCCAATCAATGACTCTCTCCTTTTCATCACAGCATTTCACACTCTAAGCTTCCAGTTGTATGCATTGCTGTTTCCCTTACCTCTTTTAGCCCCCATCGCCACGGCCATGTGTTTCTCTCTTTCTCTCTTCCTGTCTTTTGACAGTTCAATTTAAAGAGCCACTGCATGTTTATCATCTTTCCTATCTTCTTCGCTGACTTTCCAATCAATGACTCTCTCCTTTTCATCACAGCATTTCACACTCTAAGCTTCCAGTTGTATGCATTGCTGTTTCCCTTACCTCTTTTAGCCCCCATCGCCACGGCCATGTGTTTCTCTCTTTCTCTCTTCCTGTCTTTTGACAGTTCAATTTAAAGAGCCATAAAACTGTGTCAGTCACCTTTGCACCTGCAGGGCATCACAGAAGCTTGGAAAGTTAGTGTGCTGGTGCTCAGCAATCATTTTGGCTCTATGGGACCCCTGGGATACTTTTCTCTGAGATGCAGCTGCCATCTTTGATTGTTTCTTTGTTTTGCTAGGTGGGAGGGTAGTTTTTGA